AAGGCGAATGATCAAAGAATACTCGGCAACGTCTGATTTGCGGAACATTAAGATTCTGTTCCTTATTTAATCTTATACATTTTTCTCCTCGGTATTTTCTCCTTTCAAATTTACGAATATAATCTGACGACTGTGATATACAATCGCTAAAATACCTGAAAGCCACACATTGCGTTAATTTCAAGCGCATCAGCGCACGGCAGTTGTTCGCTATATAAAAAGTCCTTTCCCCCCTTCTCTTGAATCTCGGAGTTTCATTCTCTCTATAAGAAAGATTTATAAAACTCGAACTCTCATGTTCTCATGATAATGTTATTTGTCAAAACGAATCGTGATATTATATTCACAATATATGGTGAATCACATATATTCAATTGGTAAAAATTTGTGATCTAGTTACGATGTTATTGATATAATATACGCAGCTTGCTAGTTCCGGCTTGCTCGTTTTATATATTCTTTCATACTATTCCATCTGTAACAGAATGAACAAAAGTATTCGCACACTCCATCTTTTCCAAGTAAAACGTTTGAAGGAAGAAGGAAATGGGACATGCGAATATTTTTCTTTTTTTGCCCACTGAATGACCTCAGCTTATCCTGCAATTCCACATATTACAAGTGCAATATTGATACAGATGCATTGGTAAATAATACAATATTGCACAAAGAAGAGCAAAATGTCCGTATAATTCGTTTATGTATTGTTTGTCAACGCACGACAGACGCCATTCATTGTTCATTATCCTTTAATTGTTATAAAATGAAAAGAACAATGTACAATAATTCCGATATACTTTACCATATCTGCGAGATAAAAACGGATACCTCGGCATGGCTTAATATTCATTTGTTCCGACGTATAAATACTCGAGTAAACTAACTTTTATATCCAATCTCGAAATACTTAAGCGAGACAAGAAAAGTTACGCTACTAGGAAAACAAAATTGGATAGTTATGAATAAATGTATCGTATGCATCTCGATTAGAGAATAAAAAACATCGTTACACTCTATTAGTTAGAGACAGGAAATTACTAGAAGAAAAGAATATATCTTGCGACATGAATATATTAAACTACGTAGAATAACAAGCGAAAATAGCATAAATGCTAAAATATATATATTGCATTAATATAAAAGATAATCAATACTAGAAAATTATGCTGCAAAACTGTACCTAAACTGTACCTTTGTTAAGTATGTCACATAATTAATGAAAAAACATATGAAAATGTCGCACACCGATTTTAGTAGACTCTGAATATGTGAAGTAACTAAAAATAAGAGTATTTCTTTATATACGCTTTCTCGCACGTGTGAAAGATGAAACAGTTTTTCGAAGGTTATTCAAGAAAATTAATTGCGAGCGAATATCTTCGACATTGTGAGATGTATAAGAAAATGTTTTAAACGATAAAATGCTTTATACAATAAATATTTTTCCATATTTCATATTTTCGAAAATACTCGTTCACAATCAATTTGTCGAATTTCTCTTGAAGAGTTGATTTAGCTTCGTCCCTTATTTTAGCTACTCCGCGATATATCCACAGCCCATAAAAATCGATAAAATACACCTTCCATGTATTTACTTATGAGATCTCAGTTATGCAACAAATTTCTGAGCGAACTAATCGTCAGAAATACATTTCCCAACGTCTGTACCAATTGCAATACATACTTGTTTACAGCGCAAATAACGTATACATAACTATACATATCTATATATACACACACATAAATCAGTCCACTTGTTTCAAGGAGCATTCCACGATACGCAGGACAGATTAACACGTTGAGTGCCACCTTGTTCATGTGTTGATGATGTGTGAATTTCCGTATAGACCTTGTTAGTAAAGCTGTTAGTATCCGGATATTTCGATATTCGGGTCTTTCAAGATTACTTCGAATACACGAGTATACACATTCACGAATAATATCCAATAGAATACCAGAAATATAAATAGAGAAGCACAATGGAGAAAGTTAATTTTGATTGGCTGTCTACATCATATGATCTAGGCATCATTTTCTTCTGCCTACCACGACTAAGTTCGCACGTATTGAAAACATCGTTTTATCTTCCTTCAGCATGTAATAAGAAATAAAGATAGAACAACACTTTCAGCACGAAAGTGTGCAAGACGAGCTTAGTCTGAGAGCATTTGATGTACCGGTAAGTTATAATATTTTTGTTATATGCTTTTAGTATATAACAACTATAACTCTCAATAAGATCATTTCTTGATACATAGAGTTATAACGAAGAGCTATACATTGTAGGGAAAGAATTTTTACTTAAACTAATTATTGAGGTTAATTCCTTGCAACCTAATCTTTCTTCCTTATTCATTTTCCTTCCTTCATTTCCTTATTATTTGTTCCAAATATTATAAAAAAAAATTACTTTGCTTTCGATATATCGAATTCACAGTTGCACTTCTCTATTTAAATTTAGGATTTCATCACCCGAATACTCAGGCACCCATATTTACGGATATTCCGGCAATCAAAAAATAGTAACGAATAAACAATTACGAGTCTGCAGTATATTTGTTTGTTATTTATTATCGTTAGAAATATCAATATCATTATTAGAAATATAAATATCGTTAGAAATATCAATTTGTAACGTTTGGCCCATAATTTAAAACGTAACCATATATTCAGTTACTCAGGTATCCAAATAATGCCCACGAAAGACCCGAGTACCTTGATGGTCGAAATTGATAGCATTACTCGTCACCCATTTGCGAGTAGCAGTTTTATTGATCCAATTAAACATGATTTTATTAAGTGATATATATATAAAATGTTATTTTTTATTTATTTTTATTTTATTAAGTGATATATATATAAAATATCTCCTGTTGTATAAATAAATAAATAAATATATATGAAAAAGATGTAACCATAACATTAACAGTAAGAGTCAAGCGCCGATATACAAGCGATTAATATAAGTATTAGAATTAATTTAATAATATATTATATAAAAATTATATAGAAATTGACAAAAATTGCATAAGAACGACCGACAATATATATTAAATTCTAACAAACGAATAATTTAAATATCAAGATATTTAAATTAATCGTTTGTACATCAACGCTCGACTTTTACTTATTTATTAATGTTATAATTACACCTTTTCCTTTATTGATTGTATATCACGTTACAGTCTTAATTTTTGTATTGATTTGTATATATATATATATATATATGTATATATATACATATATATATACATATATATGTTTGTGTGTGTGTGTGTGTGTGTGTGTGTGTGTGTG